TCTCCACTATGTATTTGCTGATGTCTTTTAAGGTTTGACATTTGACGAAAGAACTTGCCACAGTCTGCACATCTGTAGGGTTTCTCTCCAGTATGTATTCGCTGATGTGCTCTGAGATCTGACATAAATCTAAAGGACTTGCCACATTCTTCACATTTGCAGTATTTCTCTCCACTATGTATTTTCTGATGTCTTTTAAGACTTGACATTTTACTAAAGGACTTGGCACAGTCTTCACATCTGTAGGGTTTCTCTCCTGTATGTATTCGCTGATGTGCTCTGAGATCTGACATAAGTCTAAAGGACTTGCCACATTCTTCACATCTGTAGGGTTTCTCTCCAGTATGTATTCGCTGATGTGCTCTGAGATCTGACATAAGTCTAAAGGACTTGCCACATTCTTCACATTTGCAGTATTTCTCTCCACTATGTATTTGCTGATGTCTTTTAAGATTTGACATTTGATGAAAGGACTTGCCACAGTCTGCACATCTGTAGGGTTTCTCTCCAGTATGTATTTGCTGATGAGCCCTAAGAGCTGACAGAAGTCTAACGGACTTGCCATATTCTTCACATCTGAAGGGTTTCTCTCCAGTATGTATTCGCTGATGTGCTCTAAGATCTGACATAAATCTAAAGAACTTGCCACAATCTTCACATCTGTAGGGTTTCTCTCCAGGATGTATATATTCATGCTTTCTAAAATTTGAGAGATGGGTATTGGACTTGTCACATCCTTCACATTTGCAGGGTTTCTGTATATTATACACTCTCTGATGTCTTCTATGAGTTGAGTTCTCCAGGCAAAGCAAAAGAGAAGAAAATATTTCAATATGGAGAATAAGGCTGAGATAATCACACACTCACAGATCCATAAAGAACGTGTAATATGCATGGATAAAATTTCCAACCTTGAGAAACATTCAAATGAACAAAAATAAAAATCTATGGATTAAGAGAGGGAAATGAAATCAAAACTAATTGACAAAATTTATTCAATAAAAATAAATTAGAAAATATATGAAAAATACAGCAATACATACATATCCAATCACAAGAGAGTCATTTAGAAAGTTGAAATAAGTATTAACTGAGCTCCATCATGAAGCAAATACTAGACAGCCACCAAGGATGGCATGTTCTACATTGG